TGCTCCACCTGGTCTGGGGAAAAGGGGCTGCTTCTGCCAGGCTTGTCCCTTTTCAACTCCCCAGCCCTTCCAATCCCTGGGGATGAGTCAGCGTTGCCATGCTGACCCGCTCCCCCTTTTCCAGCAGCTTCTGAGCCCCTCTCCTACCCCCCCCCACCCATAAAGCGCTATTCCCCTTCTCCCGGCAAGCTGGACAATGCCCCCCCAGGCTTAAGGTGCGGTGCGCTCATTCATTTCAGTTTATTCAACGACTTCAACTCAATGACTAGTTCATCTAACATAATAAGTGTCTAAAGAAAGAATCTAAATAATTGAAGTTAAGCTATGTAATTGCTTAAATAAATATATGTAGTATCCTTCTGGTTAGGGAAAAAAGCACTAAATTTAGAGTAAATGCTATTTTTAGTTGTAAATCAATATTTTAATTGTTAACAACCGATGAGAATCAACCTTTATTTAGGAAAATAACTAAAAAGTACAAATGCAAAATAAGATTAAAATTGATTATTTAAATTAATGTTTTCCGTGTTCTAGCCATGTTGGTCTCAGGATATTAAAGATACAAGGTGGATAAGGTAATGCATTTATTGGACCAACTTCTGTTAGTGAGAGAGACATGCTTCTGAGCATGGGCGGCAGGTAAAGCTTCCCCTTGGAGAGGCTAGCCCCCTACCTGCCTCTTCCAGCCAAGGCCCCACTCCCATTCGCTGGTCAGCCCAGCCCTCCCCACCCCATGGCCCTGGCTGGGGTGGGGGGCTGAGAGATTGGCCCCAGCCGGGGTCAAGCTCTCACCCTAGGCTTGGACCGCGGCGGAGCTCTATGCCCTGGCTGGAGCGCTGAGCCCATAGCCCCACCCCCATTCCACCCCCAGTCTGCTTCTTCCCCCCGAGGTCCGGCCCCCACTTGCTCTCCCCCCGCTTCCCCAAGATTGGAAAAGCTGTGTTGCCACTGTGCCCTGGAGCCGCTGAAGGGAGCGAGAGATCCTCCAGCCCTGGGGCCATGGCAGGGGGAGATTTTTCAGAGGGCCCCAAATCTGCCACTGCCCCTCCGTCCCCAGCAGCATGAGATTTGGGGAGGCTTAGCCTCCCCTGGCCTCCATTACATGTCACCTATGCTTTTGATCTTACACAGAGCTCTTCTTTAGGGTCTGGGAAGATCTAGCCCAGACCTGAAGAAGAGCTCTTTGTGAGCTCAAAAGCTTGTCTCTCACCAGAAGAAGTTGGTCCAATAAAAGATATTACCTTACCCACCTTATCTGCTTAAATTAAGGTTTTCTGCTTGCTGATTTTAAATCACTGTTTTGATTTAAATCAATACACCCTGCCCCCACAGCAAACAGTGGCAAAGGAAATAAATACTTCTGGTCCTAAGAAGTCGCACACTTACTTTCTCCATCTGGCACTTGGATCTAGTGGCGGTTTTAAACAAATCTTTTAAAGCATTATGGTCATGGCTACCCTGAAGTGGCATAAAGTGTAGATGGGTTCATAAAATCCTGTAGCGGCAGATTGTAATCCTATTCTGGGTCAGTCCACTTTCCCCCAACCCCCAGGAGGAAAGCAGAACACCTATTAGGCTTCTTTCTTCTAATTGTGAAACTCCAAGAGGTAGCAAGAACTGCCATTCCTCTAGGGCTTTGACTAGTGGATTCTTTAGTGCAGACAATTTATACTACCTGAGCATGCAATCCACAATCATTCTATTTAAACTTATTTGCAATTTTTTATTTGTCAGGGTCCCCCAAAGTGAAAAGAAGAAGAGACAGCCTTGCCCTTTTATGCAGATACAAACATGTCTGGAGTGCCATGGATGGCTCCAGTTATTAGTGTAAATATTCTCATTCCTAATTCTGTACAAATATCTGGGCAGTGCGTTGTGTTAGGCTGTGGAATTCTCCCAGGAAAGGGGAGAAAACTGTGTTGCTTTAGTTAGCACATGGATCACTACTATGCATGGAGAATGTTCCTGCACTGGGAGATACAGAGAGATACAATAGTTTTTCCAACACTCATAGAATATCAGGGTTGGAAGGGACCTCAGGAGGTCATCTAGTCCAACCCCCTGCTCAAAGCAGGACCAATCCCCAACTAAATCATCCCAGCCAGGGCTTTGTCAAGCCGGGCCTTAAAAACCTCTAAGGAAGGAGATTCCACCACCACCTTAGGTAACCCATTCTAGTGCTTCACCACACTCCTAGTGAAAAAGTTTTTCCTGCTATCCAACCTAAACCTCCCACACGCCTATATGTTTCTGTGGAAAAACTGTATAAAGGGTTAAAGGCTAATTTCTCAGCATGAGGGTCAACTCCAAAAATTGATCAGAATCTTTTGGACTATTTATATTAGTGCATGGTAGTGTCAAATACAAAAGTATATAGTATATAGTTTCAATATTCAAGAGAACATTGTACAGATATTTTTTAGAACTCTTGAAAGTTTCATGGATTTAAAACCCAATGAAATCACTCAGTGAAAGCTCAAAAACTTGAATCATTTTCAGCTCCAGAGATTTCATTTTTGAAACTATTTATTTTGTTAGCTGTGGAGCCTTTTTGGTTATATAGGAATTTAAATCCTTTCTTGTAAACTGTTGGTTTTTTTTAATTATAAATTTGAGTTAGAATTCTATCTCTCAAATGTTTTAATCAGCAGTTGAAATTATAATGAAAGCATTGAGTATTTTTAATGCCTATTTAAGCAGTTATGCTGGCATATTTATGTGGAGCAGCTGGCTCCAGAGGATATATCCAGCAGTAGAGAACATGGAAATGAACACCAGGATATTGACAAGCAAGCTCGGAGGATGAAATCTTTTCAGCTTTAAAATGTAATCACAAAATCAGCAACATTTTAAATGTGTTCCTTCATTTCCCCCCACTCTCCAACCTCCTGACCTCTGATCTGTGCAAATAAATGTTGTTCTTATCAGACGCAGCCACTTGGGCAAAAGGGAAGACTGTGGTTTACCAAAAGGATGGCTTTGCAGTCCTCCTCTCCTCCTTGACGTCTACATAATGAATACATTGTTGAACTATCACCAACTTTCTGGGGGATTGTAGAACATTAAACCCATTTTTTTAAAGGCTATCAACCTCCTTTTGGTGCACACAGTTTTTGAGGTGTACAGCTAAAGATTTTTTTTAATATAATAAATCTAAGTCACTGAAGCAGGTAGCAACTGTGATGAATTGCTATTTGAATTATACCAGACAATAAATATTTGGGCTGAAAGTGAATGTTTTAAAATGTTGTTTTTCATCTGTGAAACCAGTTTTGATATTGTGGGAGAAGATCATCACAAACTACTCTTCAAAGCTAGAATCAAACTTAAAAAGCAACAAACAAAAAAATCCACCATTACTATTTGTTTTCATTATTGAATTATTTTGTATAAGTAAGCCAATACAATATAAGGTGTGGGTTATGCAGCTTCAGCAGGGCTGCATGCAGAGATCCAAACACATGCAACAGATTGCAGGATTGGGGCCTAAGTCCAGTAGGAGACACATTGCTGATAGAGTCCCCAGGGGTGTACAGACCCAGAAGAAAAATGTCCCATCTGTTCTGCATGATATATTTAAAACAGCCAAAAATGATGAAGGGGTCCATAAAAGATGTGAGTAGAGCTCACAATATTAATACATTAGCAGAGCCCTTTAAATCAGTGTAGCTGTCTCCCTTCTTCTTGGATATGAACAGTAACTTTGCAGCAATACCAATCTCTGCCTGCCTGAATAGCAGCTGTTCTGATTCACGTATGAAACACTAATCTATTGTAGAGTAGCATATGGCAATATGGGTTTGGGTCATTGAGAGAATCCATTCAAAGAAATATTTGTGGGTTTATTGTAATTTTATCATTTTAATGGAAATAAATACCTGGCAGCTTCCATTATCTTTACTCACTAAAAAGGCTTAAACTGTGCATTAGTCTGATTTTATAACAGTGAAGGGAGAGGCAAGGTTCTTTACATTCGAGATGGGGATGGTACCACTCTGTCCTTGCCTGATTCTTGGAGCAGGGCAGAAGAATTAATTGAAAAGAGGCGAGTGATGGAGAAAGGAGGGAATTCAAAGGAGAGTAAAGTTGAAATTCATTTGCCAGAATGAGTGTAGAAAGAAGGCCATGAATGTATTTACTTGGGAGTATTCCTGGAGATAATCAATACTCATCCTGCAGCAGCCTGGCTCCTGATTTGCCTGAGGCTCCAAACATATTCCCTGTCAGTGATGGTAGATAGTGGAAAAATGTCTCTCTGAGTGACAAGGACAGATCTGGCACTTCCAGTTCACTTTAAGCCATGTAGATAATGTATTGTATGTCTCCCCTGTTAGCTGTAACTCCTCACTAGCTTCTCTCTTGTGGTCCTTTGTAGAGGAGGAAGACATTATTCTGTGTTGCACAGATCTCTGCTGCCCTTCAGTGCATCGTAATAGTTTTCAGTAAAACTATTATTAACAAAACAATATTACTCTTACAACCAATGTTAATTAGATGATTTTATGTTCTCACTAACCATTTGGAAACTGGTTATTTATATAAGCATCCTCTGAAATGTTCAGTAGTCTGGGAAGTCTGTTGGGTTTTTTTTTTTTTTTTTTGAGGGTTAATAGTAATTCAGCTCAGATTTGTGTGGTGTTAGAATTCAATTAACTTGTACCAGACTGTTTTCACATTCTCAAAGAATGAAGGCTTCTAAGAACAGTGGTTTGTTTATTAGCTGAACAGAGAGAAAGGGGAAATAGCGGATCCATGCCACTTGGTCTGTCATTGAAAACCATAATGAAATCGGAAGCAGCTTGTACAGCTATCAAGACTGCTAATTTTTCTTTGATTCGTTATTTATACTGTATTCCAAGAGAAATTGCTCTCTGGCAGAGGTGGGGGAAACAGCTATCATGAAGCTTGGCTCAGCTAAAATTACAGCTGTCTTAACTGTTTACTATCCCTGTAGTATAATCATTGGGAATCATACCTGCCTTTGTCTGCTTTGAATACAGGTGGTGCTTCCAACATTTATTTTGGAGAAAAGATCTCTGCTGGAGATGTATGCAAATTTCATGGCCCATCCAGACCTGTTTTTGTCAATTGCAGCTGGAGCCACTCCTGAGGAAAGAATTATTTGCTTTGTGGAGTATTATCTAACAGCCTTTCATGAAGGCCGAAAGGGAGCAGTTGCCAAGAAACCTTATAACCCAATAATTGGTGAATCATTTCATTGCTCATGGGATGTGCCTAAAGACAAAGTGAAATCATTCAGAACTAACAGTGCCTCTGTAGTTTCTAAGGACCAAACCAAGGAATTTGGCCAGGACCAATCAGAGTGCTACAAGCTGAGGTTTGTAGCTGAACAAGTATCCCATCACCCACCAGTATCATGCTTTTACTGTGAATGCAAGGAGAAGAGAATGTGTGTGAACGCCCATGTATGGACCAAAAGCAAGTTCATGGGAATGTCAATAGGTGTTTCTATGGTAGGTGAAGGTAAGAAATATGCTTTGCTTTATTTTTTGGGAGGGTGTTAGTGTTAACACCCCACAGAAAATCATAGATGAAGGTTTTTTTGTTTTGATTTTGTTTAAAAAAACCCTTCATCTTAATCTTGCTATTTGTTGCTTCCATTAATTTTAGAATTAAAATAATGGAACTTGTGTTTGAGAATATTGTCCAGTTTTTATTCATTTTTAGTATACATATATCTTGTATAATATGTGTGCCTTTATTTTTATGAGACTTATTAAAATCTACAGTTTAGAAATGTAGTCACATTGTACTTGCTAAAATATGACAGCTTTACTTATTACAGTACCTTACAGTAACAATTGTATCACAGCTAAACAAATAATCCTCTTTAGAGTTAGTATTCAATTCAGTATGGGAAACTACTTAAAACTGTTTTCAGAAGAACATAGAATAATTGTATATTTTCAGTTAAGCCTTTTAATCTGCTTTTACCTGGCTTCTGTTAGATGAAGAAATAAATTTTAAATAAGTCTTACTAGGCTATAGTACCTTTTCAATCTTTATAGCAAGTCATACAGATGAGGCCACCATCACGTTGTATTGTTGGTTTGCAATAGAACCAACATATTTGCCTGTTCAGTGATAAATCCATTGATCAAAATGATTAATAAATATAGAAAGCATTATCAAATTATAAGTCATTAATGTATGCTCTGGATTGACAAGTACTGCTTGGATCACTATTAATGTGGAATCTCCGTAACTGAAGGTTTTTAAGGACAGGTTAGACAAACACCTGTCAGGGATGGTCTAGTCAATACTTAGTCCTGCCTTAGTGCAGGGGGCTGGACTAGATGATCTATCGAGATCCCTTCCAGTCCTAAATTTCTATGATTCTATGAATTATTTAAACAAAAAATATGTATTGGAGCATCTTGGTGAATCCTCTTGCTACTCAGGATTATTCTGTTTGTACAGCACCTAGCGTAATGGGGTCCTGGGTCACAACTAGAGCTCCTGGGCACTACAGTACTACAAATAAATAATACCATCTACATGTGCTTTCTAGTGTTTTGTCCCAGATAAATTTAAAATTATGGTCCTAGTTAACCGCCAAGCAGAGGGATAAGGAGAACTAATAACAAATAATTGTTTTTTCTCATCACTGCATTAGGTAAGTATTGCTGAGATATTAAGAAATGTACTAACAAGGTAGATACAGGTAGTGATGGACTTTGGTAAGTGATTCTCCAAAGAAATTTTTATCTAGTGACTTCACAGCTACAATAGGAGTAGCAAAGTAACATAGTGAAATAAAGAACAAAATCAAATAATAGAAAATAATATTAATACTTTTCAGTTGTTTAGTTTTTGCAAAATGGAAGTCTTGAAACAAATGTTACTGCTTTTAAGACTCTTGGAGTCTAAATCCTGCAATAATACTTCTGTTTCACGTTTTTTCCCCCTGTTTCAGGCAGTGTGATACTATGTCAGACACATTGCTTTTTACATCGCAATGTATAGGGTAATGGGAGTCAGGAAGGAGTCCCAGA